CATGTATATGAGTACTGTTGTGGCATAGCAAGTACCTATATAACAAGTACTATGTTCATATTACCAGAAGGCCAACATACAAATGTATATGCATGTATATGAGTACTGTTGTGGCATAGCAAGTACCTATATAACAAGTACTATGTTCATATTACCAGAAGGCCAACATACAAATGTATATGCATGTATATGAGTACTGTTGTGGCATAGCAAGTACCTATATAACAAGTACTATGTTCATATTACCAGAAGGCCAACATACAAGCAAATGCAGCTATTTTAAAATGAGAAATGAAACACTATACCTGTGTCTCATTGTCCACAAGAATAATCTCCCTGTCTGTAATCTGTAATGTCATTTCTTGGCTCCATATTTTTCCCTTGGCGTCCATTAATTTGAGTTTGCGGATACTATCTTCTACCGTCAAGACAGCGTCTTTTCGATCAACGGAGAAGGTAGCCAAATGCTATAAGATGATAGACATGATGATATTACTATATTTTTATGTTTATATTGAAATTGTTGATACTGTGTAATGGGTGTTGATGAATAGCTTCTAATGCTTAGATACAATGCATAATCAACATCTCATCACTGCAATGATCAACTTTTTATTTAATAGACGTGGGTAACCTTGGATAGGGGGGGGGGGGTAGAATTATGTGCAGATGTGAAAAATCTAAACATATAATATGAAAGGCATTTTTTGGAATGTGTGTGTGTGTGTGTGTGTGTGTGTGTGTGTGTGTGTGTGTGTGTTTTTTTAACAAAATTGGTAAAAATCACCAGAGCTCTAATAGGTTCTTACCCAATCGTAAAACACCCTCTTCTCCAACAGAAAATAGTCCAGTCAATTTTGACTCCAACAAGAAATGTTTTGCATTTTACCACAATGTATTGATTATTCCTGTGGCAGCTTACATATAGACTATAACATGGGGTAGCCGAACATGAGAGTAATTGGCCATTAGTACACCACGGAAACAAATATAGTAACCAGACAATGACAAAAATTGGCTTGGCATTCAAAAGGTATAAACACAAAAAGAATTACTGAACAACTATATTTTAATGTGAACAACAGTGATTTGTTGTCTACATCACTTTCAAAGATTTGTTGTTATCAAAAATCTGTTGTTCCTAAAATTATGTCTTTTTGCTCCAAATTCACACAGTAATCAATAAACAACTTTTGTTGAACGATATAAATACGTTCACACAACTGAATGTGTTTGTGAGAAAATGGGAAATTCTACTGGTCACTGAGGTTAAAGGTGTGAATGCACAGATCAACCTGGCATGTAGTAAGTAAACAAAATCCCTATGTGGTGGTAAATGATCAGTCGCGTTAAAGCATAAATGTTTTTCCAGAGGGGAAGTAATCGATGCGCATGTGAATGTAAAAATGTAAAATGTAAAAAGTGAAAATTCAACTGGTCACAAGGTATATGAAGAGAACTAGTGCTTGCAGCTAGTAAACAAAACCTCTACGTGATCTCTGAGAGTTGGAGCGCATCAAATCATAACAATTTAGTCAGATGGGGAGTTATGCATTGTGAATCTGCTGTATGAGCAAGTTGTTGATTGTTTTTCACAGTATACCAGGGTGAGATTCTATAATGAAATCTTATCAGGCTGAGTAAACCTTTAGATAGAAGAGTCTAGTCATTCGGTACCAAGCACACTAATGACACTATGGATTAAGGATTTAATCATGTCTATATATTGGTATAGATACCGAGATAGATATCAATCAAGTCCAACCATTTGTACGTTTGTGAAGAAAGAAAGAGAATAACAGCATGACAAGTAACTTCATGGAATGCCAATAATGTACTGGGTAAATATCCTGGAGGAAGGGGGAGGGGGAGGGTTATCAATTGGTCATCACCAGTTTTCTCTAGAAGTTATTTTGATCTTTTAAGAATGTTTCTACCTTCTACACTCGTAGTTACTGAAGTACCAATAGAGACATGAACTTTTTTCATTTTACATATACTTTGTACTCGCATAACTGAGAATATTTTTATTTTAAACTTTCCATGTTTGCATGTTTGAAAAAATGTTTGAGGATGCCAGGCACAACACAGCATACACCTGAATCATATGGAGATATCAATAACACATACCTCAACTGGGAACATTGGCATCTCCGGACCCTCATTACCTGTCGCATTCCTTCTAGGTTCTGCAAAAAAAGTACATCATTTTACAATTAGTCACCCTGTAATTAACATTCTGAAAATAAGTTTTTTAGCAAGACAGATCTAAACATATTCATTCATTCTAAAATTTGTGAACCCTAAGCACCATCTCATCATCACCACCTTTATCATCGACTCCTTGGTGAAAACCAAGTGACACATAATCCACCTTATTAAACATTCATAACTAGTAATATACAAAAATATATAAAATAAACCAAAATAAAGTCTCACCAATTTCACACCAAGAAATGCTGAATGCATGTTTGACAACATGTCGGATCTACCATTAATTTAATTTTCAAATGTTCTGACCCCTTAAAATTTGTGCCAATACATATATCAGAAAATCTACATGCCAAGATCTTGTTTGTTTAGGTTTGACAGACTCAAACTGAAAAATAATTAATGGTATATTTACTTTTTTTCTATCTACTAATCAGTGTTCTCTGCAATTTAGAAATCAAATCCAATTTGTAGAAAAACTTTATGTAGATGTAGTGTTTTGCAATTAACAAAATCAATTAAAAAACACCTTAATTGACTGCATCTAAGCTGTGCAGGTTTTTAGCCTTTTTATCAAAATTAAAATTTAATTTTAATTGAAGCTAAAATTTAAAAAAGTTCTTGAGATTTAAACTTATTGCAATTTTTACAACAAGTCATTTTGGTGCATTGCAATGCTCCCATGGTGCATTGCGGTTCTCCCATGGTGCAATAGCTCCCTGCTTAGAAAAACAATTTTATCTTATATTTACAAAATGCAGTTACATGTATATAAGTAACTACAGTGTGAAATTCACCCTTTAAATGTATAGTACAAAATATTTTCTTAAATTAATCAAGAATTTAACTGATTATTAGATCAGATCAACATGTGAGTGATGTTGTGAATGATTCCAAGTGATGAGAACACTGATTGAACTACAAAGGGAAAGGGACACTCTACTAAAGTTATAACAGTTTGTATAGTAAGACATCTACTATCAGTCAGTATACCTAGGAAAAGAATTAATATCGGTTATTGAAAGTTACCTATAACTAGCTAGAAGTACAGAAATAATTTTAAAATAAAATATATGCATTACTGAACACTTGATTCTCATCTCTACTGTTTACCATTTGATAACTGAGTGCATTCAAAATGATGTTGATATTCAATGGTGTATTTAATCTGTTCACCACCAAAGTCATTTTTTTCATCTTTAACAAAATTTGGATCAAAATTTGTAGGCAAAAAGAAATTTTGTTTATTTGGTCCTAAAGAATCAAAAAAAAATACTACTATTATATAAAGTAGGCATAACGCGGCACCCAAATATATGAGTGAAAAGTTCACTGCTATAAAATGTTGTCTCTAGCAAAATATAAAATAATTTACAGTATTGCATATACCGGTAAGTATTAAAGACAAGAAAGCCAGAAATTCATTCCAAATCCACACATAGATTCAATCCATGTAAAACTAATGTATTAATATTTGGTATCATTACAGTCATTTAGTAAAGTATCACATGGATTGAAAAATATGGAGGAAAAATTGGCCAACACAGCTCATGCCATGAAATTATGGTTTCCATAGACCACTGTAAGTAATAGTTACATTGTCCATTCAATATAAGAACTAACTTCTAACTATCAATTCCGTGATTTCAGTAAGGGGCATTTCATTTGAAGTGCTATTTACTACAGCATGAATTATCATGCAATAAAAAAGTAGAATCATGTTCCAAAAAAAAAAAAATAGTCCTGTTCAATACAATATTCATAATCACAAGCAATATCATATTGTCATATTTGGTTCAAAATTGAGAGGAAATTTTAGAAAATGTTGATTGGAAAACAATATTGTAGTAGTGAACAGGTGAAGAAATTGACTGAGTTTAGATTGCATCTTACATAATTCATGATTCCCTTACAAAAAAATCACAGAATGAAAAGACAGAAAATTCAGCTACTAGTAACAAGCGTGCATTTTAGTGTGAAGGAACACACAATTATGACTGCAAACAGGGAGATGAAGAAAGAGTTACAGTTCTCACTGCAAACAGGGAGATGAAGAAAGAGTTACTGTTCTCATTGTAGTAAGAAAGGTGTACAGTGATGGGCAGAGTTTGATAAGAAACTCGGTAATGTTTTAAACAAGAAACTTGGGACACATGGAAAAAACGTACTATGAACTCTTAGCCTTGCGTCTGTGTACTGTTTCCGCCGTGCTGTAACATAAGAGTATGATATCTCTGCATGAGAGTCGTAAAAACAAACAAATACCTAATACATTTCACAACAGACATGGTTGCTATTTTTGTCATGGTGTCCCTTTATGGTCTTCCGTGAAATTTGGAAAATTTCAATTTTTAATTTTATTTAGTCATCAAAGACAGTACACTCCTCAATTAATCATGTATGAAGTGAATGGGCGGAGACGAAAGTGCTTTCTCTCATAATGAGTAATTCAATAAGTATGAAATGATAGGTCTGAATACGTAATATTGAACAAAAATGAACCTCATCACTTGTACCAAGTTTTCACATGTGTATACAGCTGGTTACAGTTCTAATTAGTTGGACTAGTTAATCAAATCTGGGTTAAACATTGATCAGGTAGTCAATACGAAAAAGGTTACATGCTGACACCTTATTATCAGCGGAGATGTACCGTGTCTGTGTCAGACCATGCTACGCTCTATCAAACTATCAGGACGAAGGGCAATATTGACAGCCTCCAAGTGGTATAGTTATTCAGAGTGGGTATTGTGACTATACATTACACCCATCCAAGTGTTACACAGACATTCCAATAGGTCCAATAGTTTTAATGCCGATCTCATAAAAAACAGAATAGTGATTACAGTGTTAAAATTGGAAGATTGTCTGAGACACAAGCACCTGACAGACCAAGGTATAAATGTCGCAAACACCTGTAGAAGGCTAGTGATAAATATAAAACATTAAAGCTTCCAATTATCCAGAAAGAGTTACGTTCTTATCTCTGTAAACATAAAAGAGTTTGCACAATGAAGCGACCACCAACAATTCCTGCTGTAATGCTTTATAAACTGAGCAGACACAGTCCTTTTTAGTGTCTATCTTGGTGAGTCTTCCATTCAATTTTTCTCTCTGAACATACGTAGTAAACACACTTTAATTCTGAGACTTACCATAAATATCTTTTGCAGACACTGCTCCCTTTGTGGGTCCATTTGAGACATACCCGTTTGGAACATAGCCGTTCTGTTTTCCATACCCACTAGAAGTAAACATATCAGATCTTACACTGACGTGCCAAGTAATGGACACGAAGACAATTAGATCAGGACATCAATAAGGAAATAGTTGAAAGTTTTAAACTACCACAAAAGCAATTGATATGCAAAATATAGTGCACCTTCAGCCATGCGTGTGTAGTGTCACGATGCAATAGTAAATAGTAATAGTTTTGAAAATCAGTGGTACAACAGAACATACAGTAAAACCTGGCTAAATAGAACTCTGTGTAAACTGTAGTTCAGTCTAAACTAAACCCTGTGTAAATCCAAACAACTTCTCCTAAGCTAACTATATTGTATAAAATACCAGAAAGTTTTTTTTCATCTTAATGCTTTTTCATTTTATTTCTATTATATGTTTTTCTAACAGCTTTGTCTTCATGTAGCAGTGTTGGTAGAGGCAAAGGAATGTTCCATTCATTTATTTATTTATTTAAATAAATAATTATATTATTATAACTATCTCAGTCCTTTCAGTGTTCAAGTTCAAGAAAGGTTTATCTATACGTAAAAGTAACTAATGATAAGATATTATTGAAGTCAAAATAAATTTGATAAATAAATTATCATATATGAACCAGAAAGCACATTTGTTGTATAAAATCAATGAAAAATTACTTATTTTGACCATAGAAACACCTCTGTAATTCACTAATAAAGTAAATACAGTAGATCAACAGTCTGCTCCGTTTTGTGTACAAATTGTCAAGTTGAAAGGTCAAGAGAGTTCATCAACTATGCACTAATTATTATGACAATAAAAAGGTTATTTACACCATACTGTATTTCCTCTGTTAGACACCCACTCAGATTCCTAGAGTATCTGTTACTATGTCAAATTACCATCTCAGATGTATGTACTTGAACCACACTTGAGCTTACATGCAAGAAATATAGTACATGTACTTCTACATGGAGGTGCATTTCTAACCAACAATAAATATATGGATGTGTTCATTTATGACTATCCACTCAACTGAGGAAATCGTTTTCAAGCCCAATCTTGTTTATTGAAATCTCAAGTGAACAAAATCAATAGCATACATCTGAATAATTAATCAGGGTAAGAATATCTAATGTAATCATCATTTTAATTAATTTTAATCTTAAGAATGGTTGTGGTTCTGAATTTCCTGAAACTTTGCTGAGTTATTATTAATATTAACTGGCTGTTGATCAATCCAACAAACTGGAAGCACTTGAACTAGTTTTTGAATTACAAACCATAATTGTATGTTTCCTTGGCAACCACCAGATATTCAAATGGTTAAACTGTCTGTTGATAATGTTTCTTGAGCAAATTTGACAAATATGCTAATTTATTTACAATTTAGATTATAACAAATTGCAATGTATCCCAAACGAAATTTGCTAATTTTTAGTTTTAGTGTTCATAAGAATGTTACGAACATTTTAATTGCCAAAAGCAGTTCTTAGTTATCGTTAAAATTGTTATGGAATTGATCTGTTTTTCAAAAAATCTCTCATCAAATTTTTCTTTATCCCCAGTTTCCATCAGCTGTAATAGACTAAGCCTTTATATTCCATTTTGTGGTTTATCCTTAGTTAGCCAGCAGGGCTAATGATCTAAAATACCCTAGTTAAATACTCATTGTTACAACATTTTGAGGTTTTCCCTTTAACCCAAATTAGCGCTTTTTACAAAATAAGTTTAATAGTATATCAGACACAATTGATACAATTACAGTCTCAATATTCATGTTGTTAGTACATCAGAACACTTCAGCCATGTGCATTTGAACAATAATCCATACTTTTACATCAAAATTTGAGCCTGCAAAAGGCTGTTTTGTAGCTGTACTTGTCCATGTAGACAAATTACTAAGTATTCTACATTAAAAATGTTCTTTAAATGGGATAGTCCCAGGTAGTTAAAATTAGTTACTTTTTCTTGTTACTTAGATTTCAGTGTTCAAAACAGAGACTTATGGGTACAATCTTTTCAAGGCTAGTATATAACAAGTGTCTATGTATTTAACTATCATCAAAAGCTGAGATGTGTTGATCAATAAACGTTGAGTGTGTCACAAATGCATTAGTTTAGTATAGTGATTTTTGCGTAATTGAATAATTATCATTTTTTACGTACACTCATATTTCAGTTATAATATGATCATCATTCAATTTCATCATACAAGTTCAGCAAACAGAATTTAGTAGATATAACTATGGTAACCATCAGTGACTTACTTTGGCATTCCCATATGATTGGAAGCTTGAGAATGCTGCGAATACTCCGAGTCGTCCCACATATCCATTGGTGGGTCGTGTCTCTTGGCTGCGTATACCGGCATGGTGACGTCACTCAGGCGAAAGCACGGCACACCAGACACCAGCTAGAAGACACTGGGGTCTGCTGTCTGTCAATACAAACAAAACATCAAGATTATATTAAAACTTTTTACCTCAGTTCACCTTATTGTATTTCTGTGTATATCAACTTAAAATGGTTGTACAGGAATTGAATTAACCCGAAATTCTGCAGTCTACCTCAGCTATACTTAGGCCGTCTGTGATCCTCATTTTAGGGCTGGGTGGCGTTAGCACTTTTTTTATTTAATTTTTTTCCACCAAATGTTGTATATTTATAGATCCAATACTTAAGTTGGAAGCTTTCCCAATGTCCTGTATTTACAGAACCATTGCCCACAATAGTTAAAGCCGAAAGCTGGCCCAACCTCCCATACTAAAAGAACCAACGTCCACAATATTCAAAACTTTCCTAAAGGCATTTGCATAAAAGATGAAAATTCCCAGGAATTGAAAGTGACAAGGTCAACTAATCCTAGATGAATTGGGTACATTATAACCAAGCGACCGCAAATTAACAATTATATCCTACGGCGGACATTATCTTAAACCAGGGACACAAGCCATAATATGAATTTCTTATTCTCAATGTTACGGTAATAACCAGTGAGGACAGAATTAATATATGCCTACAACCACAACAATTTTGTGTCCAAATATGACTTTCCACAAATTGGCATGCACACGTACAGAGATAGGTTCATAGCCGTGTCCTTGACGACAAACTGAAATAAGACTGTGCCCAATATCATTCGAATGCAGTTTAATATAGTCGAGTATGTGCACTATGTGGGTGTATGGTCAAAGTGGTAAAGAATATAACAACATAAACATTTACTGGTAACTGTTTTGTCAACATGCAATGTATCCTTGAAATACATTTACTAAGCACACACCTTGAGCAGTTCAAGGGGATCTAAGCATGTATTTACCTACATTTAATATCACATTCACCATGCACAATCAGTACAAATCCCCTCATTCCCTACATGTATATGGAACAGTGTTTTTTGTAATGATTAACGGTGACATATTGCCAAGGGGAAGAAGTAAGACTAACCATAGGGTTTAATGTAGCTTATCGAATTTGTGCACCACATCGCTGCCATACTTAGTAAACAAGCAGCCTGTCGGCTGAGATAGCTCCTCTGTTAGCAATGCACATTGCAATTCAAGAACTGAAAATATTATTAGAAAAAGAACAATATGTATAGTATCGAAGCAACCAGACTTGCAGTTTTCAACGAGAAGTCGAAAATATCACTTTTTATCAAAAATTACACAAATATTCATCGAAATTCAAGAATTGAAGATATCATCAGGAAATGAATATTAAAATCTGTCCTCAAGACAGGGAGTCACAGTGAGCATTTCACCAGTGTCCTTAAGACTGGCAGTCACACAGTTGGGAGTCACAGTGTAAATTTCACCGGGTGTCCTCAAGACTAGGAGTCACAGTGTAAATTTCAATGAGTGTTCTTAAGACTGGGGAGTCACAGCGTAAATTTCATCAGTACCCTTAAGACTGGCAGTCACTGTTGGGAGTCACAGTGTAAATTTCAACATGTGTCCTCAAGACTAGGAGTCACAGTGTAAATTTCACCAGTGTTCTTAAGACCGGAAGTCACAGTGTAAATTTCACCAGTACCCTTAAGACTGGGAGTCACAGTGATAATTTTACCAGTGTCCTTAAGACTGGTGGTTACAGTGTGAATTTCACCATGTGTCCTCAAGACTAGGAGTCACAGTGTAAATTTCACCAGTGTTCTTAAGACCGGAAGTCACAGTGTAAATTTCACCAGTACCCTTAAGACTGGGAGTCACAGTGATAAATGTTTACCAGTGTCCTTAAGACTGGTGGTTACAGTGTGAAATTTCACCATGGGTGTCCTCAAGACTAGGAGTCACAGTGTAAATTTCACCAGTGTTCTTAAGACCGGAAGTCACAGTGTAAATTTCACCAGTACCCTTAAGACTGGGAGTCACAGTGATAATTTTACCAGTGTCCTTAAGACTGGTGGTTACAGTGTGAATTTCACCATGTGTCCTCAAGACTAGGAGTCACAGTGTAAATGTCACAGTGTCCTAAGACTGGGAGTCACAGTGTAAATTCACCAGTAGTCCTCAAGACTTGGAGACACAGTGTAAATTTCACCAAAAGATGCAACAATATACTGGCACATGAAGCATGTTCATTGACACGTCTACATGCCTATGTACATGTTGGGATTGGGTTAACCCATCCCCATCTTTAAGCAAGCATGGTTCAAATAATTTGCATATTCCAATAAACAAGTCCTGTATAATAATAGGAGACCTGTTTTTGAAATGAACAATGGAATATTTAGTAACAATATGTCACTTCCAAACTAAAATATTCATAGTCTCCACAATTGTAATTTTTTCTTTAGCTGAATTGAGGTCACCATCAACAGCAGCATGGAAAATCAAATCGACCTTGAAATTCTTTCGAATTTCAATAAAATAAAACTCTTTCAACAGTTAACAATAAGAATACTGAACATAATGCGCACATTACAACAACTGTGAACTATTTTTTCACATGAAGACCCTTCGAAAACTGCCACAATCGGACATTCCCCTCAAATCTCTGTATAACATTTTTAGACATTCTTAAGTTTGAATGTGTTGACATCATTGGAGCCTGAGGTCTGTTCAAGAATTCTGTAATTTTTTTTTTGCTGTAGGTAGCCGTGGCCACTTCTTTTCAGTTAAACAGAGAATAACAACAATACAGACATTCAGTAGCTGCATGGGTGCATAACTAATCACATAGCTACATAGCTCCTTCCTGACATGCCCACAACTTGTCAAACAATGCCTTTTACATAGAAAATCTACAAACCTGAACACCACCACCCTCCCTTTTTTTTTTAACAAGTACTCCAATTAGAAAAGTTACTGAAAATATCACGTCCCTGTTTAGCATCATAAACTGATTATTTATTCAGCTTGTTAGTGAAACTGAGCAACTAGTTTTAAGAAACAGAAGGAGTGAAACCCATCACTCCTGGGTGAGCCATGTATAGGTCTGCCCCCTACATAGTCGCTTAGCTGTGTGTTCGGGTAACAAAATAAGGACACAAATATCTCACTTTACTAACATACCTAAGATTGCTAGACTTCAATTCCCATGCAACGTACCAACATGCTGACCGAGATCAAAAAATCAGCTACAAATAGATCTGACCTCCGACAGTTGCACAATAATTAAACATATGACCTTTGACTTTTGCTGTGCAGTTAAATTCTCCAAAAACGATACAATATTATCTTCTAAATTCCCACCCCCAACACACACCACTTCCACACACAAAGCCATCCATAGATAGGCCAAAAACTTTTCTAAAAGAACAAACATTAAAAATACTGTTCAGTTTACTATAATAATATTATTGACTTGTCAATATTTTTATATTGAATTAAAGTAAAACAAGTTGTACTATAAAATATTGTTGGTATAATAAAATACAATCCAACTCAAAACCAAAAATAAAAAACTTAACACAAAAAACTATACTTTCCAACTACCGGTAGGTAAAACAGACAAAATCAATATCACTGCCAGTTACTAAGAACTCATAATGTGTATAAGGTGGTGGCTGTACGAAGGCAGTGTGGAGGCCATGTGGTGACTGTGTGGTAGCATTAGACTGGAGGCCATATGGTGGCTATGCAGTGGCTGTGCGGTGGCTGTGCGGTGGCTGTGCGGTGGCTGTGCGGTGGCTGTGCGGTGACTGTGCGGTGA